TGCTATCGCAGTATTACAGTGAATGATCTTACATACATACATCATTTTGGACATTTTTAATCCTAATGTTTGCTTGTTATGTGATAATCATCTTTATTGTTTTTATTTCATTATTTTCTACTTTATTATTCATCTTATTTTCTTTGAAAGAACATCGTAATTATTAACTTCTTGAGCTAAATATTTAGCTCACTTATTTTCAATCTGTCTTTTTCTGGTAATTAAAGAAGCCAGACTTAGAAGTGTGCCTACTGTATGATTGTATACTGGATACTGTGTGATTCCATTGATGTGACATTGTAGCGGTAGAAAAGCAAAACAAAACAGATTAGTGGTTGCCTGGGGATGGGAGGAAGACTTTCTTACAAGGCAACACAAAGTAGAATTTTGAGATGAAACTTTTTCTGTCTTGTTGTGCTGGTGGTTATCTGACTAAAAACTTATAAAACAGCATGATAAAAAGGGTATACTTAAAAAAGAAGGTGGGGGTAAATTTTACTGTATGTAAAATTATATACCAATAAATATGTGAAATGAATATAAAAATAAAAGGTAATTCAATTTTTTTAAGAACTACTTTGTCTTTAGAAGGTCATTAAATTTCTATAAGGACTGATTAAGTTATGTCTGGTGTGTTTATACGTAGCACAAATAGTTTCAGAGTCAAAATAATATAAAAAGGTGTTACATTAAAGGGTCTTGCTCTCGTCCCTTTCCTAATCCACCCATTCCTCCCTGCCTACCTTGTGTGTCTTTCTATCATTTTTTCTCATGCGCACATAAATATTTTTTATTTTCTCTTCCTTTCTGACATAAAAATTAACACATTATAAACATTGTTCCATATCTCACTTCCCTTAATATATTTTAGAAATCTTCCCATGTCAGACTTTATTCTTGTCTTTTTCTTTAAAACGGCTATACAGTTGTGAGGATGTATGAGGCATAGTTGGTGTAAGATATCTTATGAGAAATCTCTGGGGTTTTCCTAATTATTTGCTATAGCAGTATTACAGTGAGTAATCTTACATACATACATCATTTTGGACATACGAAGTTGCATCTGAAATAAATTTCTGAATCAAAATTACTAATGAAAGGGGTGAATGTGTTGTAATTTGAGTATGTACTTCCATTGTCCTCCATTGGAGGTTTGCATTTTGTATGCCAACAGAAATGTGAGAGGAAATTTTTGTCTTTCTTAATTCTTTTTATTATTATTACTGAATTATTTTAAAGTACACAGAGGTTCTTGACATCCTACTGCTAAATTCATCAGTGTTTGACTCTTAAAAATAGTAAACTTAAAATTGTTTTTAACAGTTTCATTGATGTATAGTTGACATGACCATAAAATTATTTTAAGTGAACAGGTCAGTAATGTTTACTGAATTTAAACATGCTCAGTCATTGCCACAACACAATTTTAAAATGTCACCATTCCCTATGCCCATTTGCAATCAGACCCAGTTTCATACCAGGCAATTATTGACCTAGTATTTATAGATTTTCTCTTCTTGGCCAGGCACTGTGGTGCACACCTGTAATCCCAACAGCTCAGGAGGTTAAGGCAGGAGGATTACAAGTTTAAAGTTAGCCCCAACAACTTAGTGAGATCCTGTCTCAAAATGAAAAATAAAAAGGTCTGGGGATGTATATCAGTGGTAGATGCCCTTGGAATCAATCCCTAGTATCCCCTCCCCATACCCCTAATTTTTTCCCTTTCTGAATATTTAAAGTGACTCACACATTATCTTGTTTTGAGTGTCTAACCTTTTAAATGTAGTGTAAGTTTTTTTAGACACATGCATTTAAGAATTCTACAACTGATATTTGTTTTGGCATGTATTAGAACTTTGTTTCTTCTTTCAGGTGAGTAATATCCAATTGTATGGCCATGCCACATTGTCTTTATTCAAAAAAAATTTTTATAGCCAGTTGACATTATTTCACTTAACAAAATAATTCTTCCTGAATCACCTAATGTCTGGATTGTCTTTAATTTCTGCAGGATCCAGGCCAGGGCCATACATTGCAACTGTATCTGTCCCTGGATCTCTTTTAATCTGGAACCATTACTTTTTTCATGGCACTACTAGCTGAAAAAACTAGCTCATTTTCTCCTAAAACCCACCTCCTAGATTCCCTTGATTGTTTTCTCGTGGTATTTCTTTGCTTATGAATTTCATATATATATATTTCTTATATATTTCTTTATGTATTTCTTCTCTTTTGTATTTCTTGTAAAACTTGATTAGATTTCAATCAAATATTCTCAACTAGGATACATCACAAGTAATATTGTTCATATTTTATCTCATTAGGAGACAGATAATATGTATTTTTCCACCATTGATAATGTTAAGATTGATCATTGAGTTAGAGTTATGACACCCTCATCCTACAATGTAAAGTTTATATCTGTTCGGTCCTTGCGTCTAAAAAATGTAATCTTTGTGATATTCCTTTGGTACTACACAGATGTTTATTTCTTCATCAGTCCTGAATTTGATGATCAAAACACTGATTAAAACACTGAATCTGTAATTTCATGAGATGTTGCAAAATGAGGCAGTTTTGTTGTTCTGTCATTCCATCTACGTTTTTCTATAAAAAGTTTTTCCTTTTTCAACCAAAGCTGTTTGCTTCCCTTGAAAAACAAGTAATGATGATGATATGATGATGATTTTTGTACTAGGAATTGAATCTCAGGGGTGCTCTACCAATGAGCTATGTCCCCAGCTCCATTAATTTTTTATTTTGAGATAGGGTCTCACTAAGTTGCTGTTGGCCTTGAACTTGCAGTCCTCCTGCTTTAGCCCTCCTAAATAGCTAGGATTAAGGTGTGCACCCCTATTTCCATTGTATCATTTTTTTATTGTTTTTTTTAGTTATACATAATAATAGAACACATTACAATATAGTTATAAAATCACAGAATATTATTTGTTCTAATTCAGTCTCCAGTACTTCTTTCCTCTCCCATCCTCCTGTTCTGTTCCCTCGGTTCTACTAATCTTTCTGCTGTATACTTACAGATTTTTTTTTAAAAATTAGTGTCTTATGGATGTACATGATGATTCACTGTCATAAATTTGTATACATACATAGGAAAGTTAGGTCAGGTTTATTCCACTGACTTTTCCTATTCCTTCCCTCATCCCTTCCTTTCATTCCCCTTTGTCTATTCCTCTATAGATCATTCTTTAAAACCAGGAAAAAAAATACTTGTCTCCCCACCTCATCAGTAATTTTCAAGTTAAGGATTGGTGTAATATCTGCTTCATTGAGATATACTGCATTGTCACTGTTCATCTGCAGATATCTGAAATAATTTATAGTGTTATAGTCTCTTTAAATTTATGGGTTAAACCAAAATTGTGTGTGTGATTATTTTAAGTTTCTAACAAAACTTTTTTTCTACAGTGCTAAGGATTGAACTCAGGGCCTCATGCATGCTAGGCAAGTGATTTACCACTGAGCTACATCCCAGGCCCTAAACAAATTTTTAAAATGTTTTTCATACATTTTTGTTGTTGATTTGTAATTATATTGTGATTACAGAATGTAGCCTATACTCAGTTGTGTTTTTAGAACTATTGAGTGGTCTGTGTAATCTGATACCAGTTTTTTGATAAATATTTTATACAGTCTTTAAAAAAGTATAGTGGTCTCTCAGTATCTGTGAGGGATTGGTTCAAGGACCCCTGTGGACACCAAAGTCCTCTTATGCTCAAGGCCCATATATAAAACAGTATGGTATTTATATGTAACTTATACATATCCTTCTGTATACTTTAAATAATTTGTAAATTGTATTACCTAATACAGCATAAATAGTTGTTAGACTCTGTTTAGGGAATCATGGCAAAGAGAATAAGCCTACACATGTTTGGCACAGACATTTTTCCTAATATTTTTTATCTGCAGTTGGTTGTATACATGTGTCACCCATGGATATGGATGGCCTACTGTATTTCTTTTCTTTTTATTAAAAGAAAGATGCTAAATAATTCTATTAGATCAAGATTATTAATAATATTATTTGAAACACATTCTTAATTTTTGTTTGCTTGCTATATCAGTTACTTAGGGTCTTAGACCATTTTCCAAGAGATTGGACAACACTTAAAAGAAAATATGTATTTAGCTTATAGTTTTTTGAAGTTCAAGAACATGATGCCAGCATCTGCTTGGCTTCTGAGGAGGGCCATATGTTGATCCATGTGTGGCAGGAAAGTGGAAGTGGAAATGGACGTGTACAGAAGGAGTAGATGTGTAAGAGGGACTGAGGAGTAACAGTTCACTCTTCCCACTGTCAGGGGAGCTATGTTAATACCTTCATAAGACTGGAGCCCCTGACCTAATTACCTCTCCCTGCCTCCTCATCCACCCCAGTGCTGGGGATTGAACCCAGGGATAGTCTACCACTGAGCTATGTCCCCAGCCCATTTTATTCTTTTTTTTTCCATTAAATTTTATTTTATTTTTTATTAGTTGCTCATGACAATACAATGATCTTGACATATCATACATTTGATTCAAATGGGGTATTAATTCTCATTTTTCCACGTGTACAGGTTGCAGGATCACATTGATTAGGCGAGCATTCTGCCACCAAGCCACAACCCCATGGTTACATAGCTTCTTGATTGGTAAATTATCTTTTTGGATAGTTCCTTCTATTAGGAACATAATTCCCTTTGTTGCCATTCAATTAGAATATGTGATGTTAAATCATGTACAACCACAAAAATTTATTACCCATGTATATACATCAAAATACATTCTACTGTCATGTATAACTAAAAAGAACAAATAAAAATTTAAAAAATACATATGTGATGTCAAAACTTAACTATAGAAGCCTTCTCTTAGTTGGCATTTTCAGCTGATAATATTCTTTCCTTTTTCCTAATATTTAAACATTTTGTATTATTTTGTTTTAGGTGTGTGTCTTATAAGCAGTTTATAGCAGAATTTTAAGCCAGTCTGTGGAGGCCTCCTTTTTAGTAGGTGAGTTATTTACCTTAGTTAACAATATATTTAAATTTACTTCTGTCATCTTTCATGTTTTCCATTGACCATGCATTTTCTCTGGGTTTTTTTTTTTCCTTTTTCCTATCTTCCATTAAATAGATAACTTGCTTTGTTTCTTTTCTCAGTTTAGAAGGCATATGTTCCAAATTCATTCCTTCAATGGTCAATCTGAAGATTAATATGCATTCTTTTTTTTCTCCCTATGATACTGGAGATTGAACCCATCATTCTCTACCACTGAGCTATGCCCACACCTCATTTTATTTTGAGACAGGGTCCTGCTGAGTTCCTGAGATTAGCCTCAAACTTTCAATCCTCCTGCCTCAGCCTCCTGAGTTGCTGGGAATTATAGGTGTGCACCACCAGGCCCACCTTAATACACGTTCTTCAGTGAATTTTTTAGCAAAATGTTAAGGCTTATCAATATCTCCTTATTCCTCCTGGATCGGCCAAGTGTGTTAGTATATTTTAGTTTTCCTCTGAAACATCTTTTTTGCAGACACAATATAAGTTTTGACTTTGATTTTACTTTTTTTTTTAACCATGTGGAAATAAATTTGGTTTTGTTCTCTTGTTCTCTTCCTTGTTGTTTATAGTTATTAGTTTTCAGTATCTTTTAATAATTTATTGTTCTTACATTCCATTCTTTCCCCAAGTTCAGTTTTTCTTCGTATTAAAGGACTTAATTGGGGCTAGGACTATGGCTCCAGTGGTAGAGCACTTGCCTAGCATGTGTGAGGCATTGGGTTTGAGCCTCAGAACCACATAAAAATAAACAAATAAAGGTATTGTCCCTCTACAACTAAAAAATAAAGATTTTTTTTTAAAAAGGACTTATTTGAGCAAGAAAATGAGGGCTTTATAAGTCCTAGTCTGTTTTAAGATGTCTTTATTTCATTTTCATTTCATCTGAATTCTCTAAAATTCATCTACAAAATAATTATTAATAAAACCATCTCACCTACCATACAGGATTATTGCAGGGGGGAATAACTTTATTTTAACACTTTATAAACTGTTAAACCTATTCATGTATGTGTGTATGTGTATGTGTGTATAAGAGAGACATTATGAGATTATAGTGTTTTAAATGGGTTTTTAAAATTATTCTTGTGTTGAAATAATATGTACTGAAATAATGGAGAATAGTAACTAATAAAAATGTCATGAATTATACATGATCACAGATTTAGGGGAAAACCAGGACAAGATAAAAGTCAGGATCCTAACTTCTAGCTTGAGGTCATTACCATTCAGTGGAACTTTGAGTCATGAAGGCATTAAACCCAGGTTTTGGGCTTTGTTTTTATTGAGGCATGATTCAGCAGTACTAATTCTCAGTATATCCAAAGGAAAAGAGATACCTGCCTGTTTATTATATCACTATTTACATTAGCCAAGAAACTAACCAAGAAGTCCATCAGTGGATGAATAGATAAAAATAATGTGGTACACGTACACAATGAAATATTATTCATCCATAAAAAGGATGAAACCCTGTCATTTGAGGCAACATGAATGGAACTGGCGGGCATTAAGTTAAGTGAAAGAAGCCAAGCTTAGAAAGACAAATACTGCATGTTCTTACTCATGAGTGGAAGCTAAAAAAAATTGGTCACATACAAGTAGAGAGTAGAAGAGAGGTGACTAGAAGAAGGGAAAAGTGGAAGGGAGGAAGATAGAAAGAAGGTGAATAATAAGTACCAAAGTATAGTTAAAAAGGGGAATAGCTCTAGTGTCTTATAGCATAGTGTGGTAAGTATAGTTTATAACAATTAATTATACCTTTCAAAATAAATGAAGAGAAGAATTTGAAGGTTCCCAGCCCATAGAAATGCTAATATTTGAGGAGGTAGAAAATGCCTTTAACCCTGATCTGATCATTACCCATTTTATCCATGTATTGAATTACAACACTATACACCATAAATAAAAACAAATATATCCATAAAAAATGAAAAATTTTAAGGTTATAATAAAATGTTTTTAAATGTCTCTAGACAGTATATGAGAATGTCCACAAGAATTTCTTTCCCCCCCCCCATGCATGCTATTTAGTATTTTTTTTTAAAATGAGCTAGTTTGGAATTTTTTGTGAGAATATCTCTTCTCATTGTATTTGAACATTGTGTTAGCCTTCTATCACTGACAGAATACCTGGGATAATTAACTTTTAAGAAGGAAAGGTTTGCCAGCAGTGTGGCACCGGCAGCCTGTAATTCCACACCTTGGGAGGCTGAGGCAAGAGAAGCGCAAGTTCAAAGCCAGCCTCAGCAACTTAGCGAGGTCATGATTCCAAAAAAAAAAAAAGTGCTGGCCCAGTGGTTAAGTATTCCTAGGTTCAATCTCTGTTACCAGAATAAGAGGGGTAGTATTTTGGCTCACAGTTACAGAGGTTTCAGTCCATGGTCGTTTGACTGTTGGTTTTGAGCTGGTAGTGAGGCAACACATACATCATGGCAGGAACAGCGACAGAGGAGGCCTGTTTACCTCAGGGCAACCAGGGACAGGAAGGGCAGGGGTTGCAGAATCTCCTTCCAGGCCATGCCCCCTGACTTTTTTCCACTAGGCTCCACCTACTAAAGTTTGGGGACCAAGCCTTTAACACATGACCCTTTGGGACACATTCAATATACAAACTATCACAAACATCTTTTCTTACTTTAGTAACCATTTGTATTCTTCTTTTGAGAATTGCCATGTTGGCCATTTCTTTTCGTGTTTATCTTTGTATTAATCTATGAGAATTCCATATTTTATTTTGGTGTTTCCACAGGTTTATTTTTCTCCCATCTTTGACTCTTTAGTGCCTGTGGAGTATGTTTTCGGTATAAGGAGTGATATATGTCAGTGTCTCCCCATTTCTCATATCCTCCTCTGGTTTTAAACTTGACCAGCAGGAACAAAAAAGATATAAGCAGACTCAATTGTGCCTTGCTGCTTGTCAGTTTATTAATGTGTCTTAAGTTTTGAGTTTTCACAAACAGAGAGATACTGAAGGGGCAGGAGTGGGCTGCAAAGGGGTAATTGGCACATTCACATCAGCGCTGCCTTCTGTGAATTTGATTATGGATCAGAGAAAGAGTAGACACAAATAGAGTGTCTCACTGTAGTTGCCTGTTGTACTTCTTTTAGTGACCTCGGTTCTTTATCAAAGAAGTGCGACAGAAGATACCAGGGGATGAGAGAATGTAGATACAGGTGTTTGCTTTTTGCCTCAGTACTAGGGGTAAAACCCAGGGCCTTGTGCAATGCAGCCTAACTCTGAGAAAATCCCCAACCCCTAGATACATATTTAAGTCTTGAGTCTGTACTGGTTTTTAATGCCATGTGTCCTTTTGGCATGATGATACTATCAACTGTGAATTCTGTGAACAAGTAGTTTTTTTTTTAAGTTTTTATTTAAACAGATATTCTTAGTTCAGAAAATGCCTAGTCTTTTCCCTTCCTCTCTTTGACTCTTAATCCCTTGATTCATAGGTGAATGCTGGTTTTTCTTACATATCTTATAGAAATTTCAAGCATTATTTTTGACAGCTGCCTTCTGCTGAATGTTCACTGGGTGAAACTGAAGGTCCTCAGAAGAAATAAATTAAGAAGGTAAGAAATAGAAATAGACTTGTGGCCTTTAAATGTACTGTTGTTCAAGTCATATAGATTTTTCAAGATTATTTCTTTAGAATCCCTTTTGACAATAAAAATCAATTTAGAGAACACAACAGCAGCTGAGCGCAGGTCTTTGTTGATGGACACCTATCAGAGCCCAGAGGCCTTGCATGTATTATCATTTGTTTGCACTGTACTGATGGCTCCAGCAGGGGGACAGGAAACCCAAGGCTCTGAAAGGATCATAACAAACCTCACTGCCCTGGTTGGTAAAGGACAGAGCTCGAGTGTGGACTCTGGTCTTTCTGCCTTCAGAGCCACCTGTGTAGTCGGTGACTGAAAGTCTGATCTTTTCCCACTTTGGGGTTGGGTAACTTCTCTTTTTCTGCTGGTTTATTTTCTTCATGAGCCCATACACAGTGAATATCATAACCATTGTCACCTTTTCACTTTCAGAAACCATGGGTTATAGAATGTATAAAAATAACTTATTGTAATAAGACTTGCTGTTTTTAGTTCTTCCCATTATTGAAGAGTAACAGGGCCTCCATTGCCCATGTGCAATTATAAAATGGTGCACCTTAGAACACTTTCCTCTTGTTTCTATGAAATTTGTTGTACTATGCTGATTTGTTAGACTGAGACATAAGACTGGCATTTTACAACTATTGTAATAAATGTGTAAGTTGTCAGTGGCTGAAATGTAAATGTTGCCCCTAAGGGTCATGCAGTGAGTAGACATAGAGTGAGTAGACAAGTGAGGAAAAAAACATGTAAACCTAGTGTTAATTTTACGTCTAAAATTTTCATTCTAAAACTATCCTATTTCCTGCTTCTTTCATGTACTGTTTATGGCTATTAAGGGATTAGAGGAGGATGGGAGTTGGGTGGACAGACCTACAATAGTATTCTTATTCAAATGCAAATAGTATGTCAGTGTCCACTGCACTCTTTCTGTGGGCCTTCCTCTGTCTTGTGCTTTGACTCTTGAGAAAAATTGTTTTTGCCAAGAAAGACAATAGAATGTAAGTGAGGAGACAAGACATGTATATACATGCGACCAAACGGGGGACAGTTTACTGAAACATTCCATTACATTGTGTGACTTCAGATGTAGAAAGCAATAAAAATAGAAAAGATTATTGGGTCCAGAAGTAATCAGGGCAAGTGAGTATGGCCTCATGGAGAAGGCAAGGCGTGTTAAGATCTGGTCATACTCATATGTATGAAGAGGCAGAAAAGCTGTGTGTTCAGACACCCTAAGGTCATTCCAAGGTAGAAGCTTTGACATTAATGTTCATCCTCTACAGCAAATTCTGAATTCCCAGGAACCATTGCCCAGATAATTGTTGGTGAAGGGACAGCTATGAGAAGCCTCCTCAGCCTCCTCCTTCTCATGTTATCAATCTGCCCCTTTCACTGAAATTCCTTAGCATTTGATGGAAGCAGTCTGTACTGTACTCTCCTGCCACGTTGAACTGTTGCCTTGGGATTTTCATTTCTTCCTAGAGAGACCTATTTCCTTTGGTCTCATTAGTGTTTGGTGCAATCTGTTGACATAGACCATGTCCAGTGAGTATTTAGGCACTCTTGACCTTGGGCCGTCCATAGGCGCACAAAAGCCCTGTGGGGTCTGGAGCCAGAGCGAAAGCCAGTCTGAAGGTGCTGAATCACATAGCTCTGTTTCCTTGTCTCAACTGGACTTTTGGTAAAAGCAAGTGTTCTTAGAAGTGTTCCCTTGCATGATTCTGATCTGGTGTGTGATTTCTGAATAGATTGGAATGGAAAACGTGAAAACTCAAAACTAAAGACAGACTTTTTCCCCTGGATGCTTCATTGGGGGCTTTCAGTGGTTTCTAATTATGAGCAGCAGTGACACCCAGACCATTTCCCAACATACAAAAGGCACAGGAAATTGAGACACAACCAAGGAGGGAGAGTGGCGGTATAAATAAAATATTTTTTGCCATAGGGTTTCCCTTACTCCAGATTTGGTAGAATCAGATCATACAGCTGAGAAAGACCCTTGGTTTATTTGGACATGTTGCTAGTAATACATCCTTGCATCAAACCGTTTACTGCATTTTCTTTTCCATGGCAGCAAAAAGAGAAGAAACACAATTTCATTTGTTTTTATTGTAGATTAATTTTTAAATTTACCATTACTCATCTCTTTCTGTCCTTCCAGGCATCTAAGAAAAAAATCGTATTTCATAAAAGACAGTTATTTGTATAGGATAAGAAGTATTCATTTCAAAATAATTGAAAGATATGTCTTAACCTTGGTCTTGATGTAAAAGCTAAAGTACACTTTTGATTGTTGGTATCATTTGCTTATAGTTAAATGAAGTTAAGTAGATTCATTCAAGTCAGGATTTGGGGTTTTGCTTTGCATCCTTTGTTCTCAAATACCAATTGAAAATATGTTTTGAATGGTGGAGTGCTAACCCAATTTTTTATAAATCTTCTAGAACCTGTGCCTTACGTCCTTCCCAGCTGCTGTGGATGGCCCTGACTCTCTTAACTACCCTTCCCAGTAGGATGTCACTGAGATCCCTCAAATGGAGCCTTCTGCTGCTGTCTCTCCTGAGTTTCCTTGTGATGTGGTACCTCAGCCTTCCCCACTATAACGTGATAGAGCGTGTGAACTGGATGTACTTCTATGAGTATGAGCCAATTTATAGACAAGACTTTCACTTTACACTTCGAGAGCATTCAAACTGCTCTCATCAAAACCCATTTCTGGTCATCCTAGTGACCTCACACCCCTCAGATGTGAAAGCCAGGCAGGCCATTAGGGTTACTTGGGGTGAAAAAAAGTCTTGGTGGGGATATGAGGTTCTTACATTTTTCTTACTAGGCCAGCAAGCTGAAAGGGAAGACAAAATGTTAGCGTTGTCCTTAGAAGAGGAGCACCTTCTTTATGGTGACATAATACGACAAGATTTTTTAGACACATATAACAACCTGACCTTGAAAACCATTATGGCTTTCAGGTGGGTAACTGAGTTTTGCCCCAATGCCAAGTACATCATGAAGACAGACACTGACGTTTTCATCAATACTGGTAATTTAGTGAAGTATCTTTTAAATTTAAACCACTCAGAGAAGTTTTTCACAGGTTATCCTCTCATTGATAATTACTCCTACAGAGGATTTTACCAGAAAAACCATATTTCATACCAGGAGTATCCTTTCAAGGTGTTCCCTCCCTACTGCAGTGGGCTGGGTTATATAATGTCCAGAGATTTGGTGCCAAGGATCTATGAAATGATGGGTCATGTAAAACCCATCAAGTTCGAAGATGTTTATGTCGGGATCTGTTTGAATTTGTTAAAAGTGGACATTCATATTCCAGAAGACACAAACCTTTTCTTTTTATATAGAATCCATTTGGATGTCTGTCAACTCAGACGTGTGATTGCAGCCCATGGCTTTTCTTCCAAGGAAATCATCACATTTTGGCAGGTTATGCTAAGGAACACCACATGCCATTATTAACTTTACACTCTACCAAAAATCTAGAGAAGGGCAGGATGCTTTGTGGAAAAGTCTTAAAGTTGGTGCTGTGGAGAACTCATGGAAAAGTCAGTGTGCTGGCTCACACTGAACTGAGATCATGGAGAACCCATAGATTGGAGGGCCACACATTACTAGTGATTTATTTTGACAAAATTCAAGTCCCTTAAAAGTGGTATTCAGAGGAATTAAATATCTTATAAAGGAATCAGGTTTTTGCCTGAAAATTAATAGGGCCAAACATTGAACATGTCATTCTATAGACTAGAATTTCCTAAAAGGGTTTTCTTAATTATAAGCTCATTAGTCCGTAACAGCAAAGCAGTGTGGAGTTCTATTTATTGAACAGTTTAGTCACTTAAGGGTTTAGTGTGTATCTTACATGGGTTACCAATTTTTAAAAACTATATAGTTCTGTGTAAAAAAAAAAAAACTTCACTGACATTATACTGAACAAAATTAATTATATCTGTTTTTGGTCATTCAGAAGGCACTTAAAGATGTTGCGGCATTTTGGAGTTACCAGTTATTATTTAATGTTACTTCAAACTTTCTGGGTGTTTAAAATGTTATTATGGTGGTTTCAATACTGTATAATAGAATAGTGAATCAATTTTTATATTTGAGCTTTGTTCCAGTTACTTCATTGATCAGTTTATTATTGATAGCCCCATTAATGTGAAAGTCATAGTTCATTTATTGAGTATCAGTACTCTCTTGGACTTCATTTTATATTTTACTGTGGTAATGTAAAGAATAATTAAAGCAAGAAAATCTGAGTTATTGTCTTGTTTTTGAAGCTATAGTTCTCAGTGTTCTTAGATATCACTTTATCTGTTTCATTTTTCCCCTGGAACTTAGAAATTATATAGAATGCCAGGCAGTGTATTTCCTTTTAGAAAGGACTCTGAAGGCACAAAAGAAGGGAGAGGACAGAATGTTATGAGAAGAGTGTCCTTTATCAGTATTTGGGTTAGAAAAACAAGACTGAAGATCCAAGTTGCAATGTTAATCTTACCCTGTGTGTTTTCTCATTAACAATGAACTTGTGAATAAAGAGGAAAAAAAAGAAACAAGATGTTGCTGTTATTGTTTGTAATCAAAAAGGGCCTTATACGTAGTCTGAAGTCACGTCTGATTTATGTCCCATGTGCTTTCATAGAAGCACTGATGTATCCTTTGTTGGAAATGCTACTAGTAGGTTAAAAAGGAGTATTGCCCCATATTCCTGGGATTATACAATTTTCTGTTAGAATTGATTTGAGATAAGTAATCCTTTCTTCTTAATTATAAGAGAGCAAAATATCAAATCCTTTGACAGGAAATAAAAGCTTGAAAGTATGTAGTCAGCTCTTGTAATACTCAGATATTTACAATTCACCTATATGAAAAATCTAACCTAAATTAAAGCTGCCATAATCTGTGGTTCTCTATAACAAGGCTATTTCTTTTTTCCTGGAATCAGACCTGATACAGTTATGATAAAATCAATTAAATGAAATGCTCCATGGAATCAATTTATGCCCTTGGTAATCCCCATTGTGTATAGAAGTCACTTTAAAGACTGATGATTACATTTGATCAGTGTTGCAGATTATATTGAAGCTTGAGAATCTAACTCAGGATTTTTAGAGAGAACTTTTAAAATAAAAAATCATTTCCTTTCATTCTAAGAAAAGACCTGGGTAGGGAGGACCCAGAGTTTAAAGGATTGTTCCTTCTGAACTAAAGATTCCTAGGAGATCTCTAAAACAATTATGAAAAACAGTTGGGTCATTGTATTTTTCATTTTTACCTGTATGTTTCTTAACCTTTCAGGTAGTAAATATTAGCCCTGTGGTGGCTAACCAAATCAGCAGCCTTTTTAAATTTTAACTCATATAACTAAGTTTAATACTGGAATCTACCCTTACACTGTGCGTCCATCCCAGCTACCACAACCTGGTCATCCCATGGTCTTACCACATACTCTGCTTCACTTGCTGTGAGCACTAAGTCTGTGACCCCTAGCACCTTAGTTAGCTTTTGTTAGATTATGCTGCAGGTGGGCTGGGGATATAGCTCAGTTGGTAGAGTGCTTGTCTCACATGCACAAGGCCCTAGGTTCAATCTCCAGCACCCCTGCCCCCCCCCCCCCACACACACACACACACAAGATTATGCTGCAGGAACATCTAGGTCTCAGGGGTGAGGACCATCATGTTTTCTTTAAACCCACATTGCCTTTCACTGGTTGTGCGTGGTTGACTGAGGTCCTGCTCCCTGTGTCTTCTCATTCCAGAACACAGGCTGAAAGGCAGCTCCTGCCTGGAACTCACGATTCTCATAGAGGGAAGGAAAAAAGCAGCTGGTGAAATACAGTGGCATATACATCCACTGGCCAAAACAAATTCAATCCTAAACCCAGTGACAGGGATGGAGAAGTGGATTCCTCTCACAGGAAGTAACTGCAGGTCATAGGGGATGAATCTAGTGCATCATTGTAATCTGTACTACTGTGTGAAAAGGAAAGGGGACTCAGGGGCCTGTGGTTTTGTTAGGGTTTGGATCTTAAATGTCCCTGAAACACCTATATACTAAAGTCTTGGTCACCAGCCTGTGGAACTATTGGGAGGTGGTGGAACCTTTAGAAGGCTGGATCTTATGGAAGGAAGTTAGGTCATTGGGAGCATGCCCTTGAAGGGGATATGGGGACCCTGGTCCCTACCCCTCCCTCTGTGTCATGTCCTGGCCACCATGAGGTGAACAGTGCTTTTCTGCTGTGATATTCTGTCTTGCCACAGACTGAAAAGCATTGGAGCGAAGAGACCATGAACTGAAACTGTAGGCTAAAATAAACCTTTCTTCCTTTTAAGTTAATTATCATCTCAAGTATTTTGTCAGAGCAATGGAAAATTAACACATATTTTGAGCTGGCTCAAGTAGAAGTTTTTCTGGCTCACTTGGAATTGATGCTTTGGGGTTTTGCCCTTCTCAGAGAGCTCTGCTTTTCACCCTCCTTAATCTTTCCTTAGTTCTACCCTAAATGGCCTTGGCATTATTGTGTTTCCATCAACTCTCCAGATACACAGCAGGCAGAACTGAGCTATTTATATTGAAAATACTTCTGAGCATGAGGTGGTGATGCAGCTTATTTTCTTGAGGTCTGGTGGGCAATTATTGCAGGATGGAGATAAAAGGATAGGAAGCTGAATATGGAAAATGTGGCAAGCCACATTTGGGGCTCGTGTATCCTATAATCCACTTGGACTTCATATCTTTTACATTAAATCAATTGGATTTTTTGTGAGTCAACAACCAACTCTCATTGGGACTCCATCACACTCCCTTGCTTGGATTTTCCCATGTGTAGTTAAATTTGTGAGTCCATCAAAATAAATGGCAAATGCTGGTGTGTATTAAGTTATAGGCTTTTTGTTATGAACCCAAATTTATCTAAAATAAAGATTCGAGAGGTAAATGTGTAATGAGGTCTGAGCTCTGTGTACCCTTATATATAACCAAATCCTTGATCCTTCCCCTCTCATCAATATCCAAATAGAAGTTTTCAGCCCCATGTACTACACTTTAGGAAGTCCATAAGCCACAGTGTGAAGATAAGAGAGTAGGGAAGTGGCTTATGATTCTTGTCAGCCACAGCCTGCCTTTACCACCACCCTTTCCTAGCTATGGCCCTTGTAGCCTGTGGCTCTGTCACCTCTTCTCATACTTCTCTTAGATGATGGCATTGTCAATATCAAATAATTCTAGAGGAAATAAATAATTCATTCTGAGACAGATATACTCGAGTGACCATTGCCCAGGAACATGGATTCAACTTACCCTGAATGATGTGTTTGGCCATGGAAAAGGTGAACTTTTATAGCCACAGAACAAAAGTACCATTACAAAACACTTGGTGGGGGTCTTAGGTAGGTAGACTACAGCAAAGAGGAGAAATCTTTTCTATAGATTTGAGATGTTACAGCATTTTTAGCTTTAGGGTTGGTGGAGGCTACAGGTCTGTTAAGCTTAGTGAAATATTCTCAGAGTTTTACCTAAATAGGAGGATGTTAGGTCAGATACAGAGGTTGAAAGCAAATGACTTAAAGGGATTAGGATAGCCAAAGATAATTTTGGCTCTCGAGCTAAAACATTCCATCTCTCCACTGTCAGGATATTCTACTCAGCCAAGGTCAACCAGTCTGCAGAATCTTTAATATAAATGAATTTTCTTTTTGTTTTTTCAGAGAACTTCAGCTTTACTTCACCTACTTTTATTTCCCTCCCAAAGCCTCGCTAATACAAGATTGCTGTGAATTTTAGCATTTTACATAGTTTGAAGATCATAAAGATAATTACTACCTGGGAAATTCAAGATCTTCAAATTCAAAATCTGACATTGCTGCTCCTAGGAACTTGCCAGTTATTTCTTGTGGTAATGGTCTTGAAAGGTAAAACCTCCAGTGAACCCACTGATGTGCTTCTTTGTATAGATCCCACCCATGCTCACTCGGAGCAATCCCCCTGTAATCAACTGAAACTTTCAGACAAAAGATGCTGTGTAACTCCCAAGAACAGGTCAAAAGAAGCTTGCAGCTTGTGGCTCCTCCTTTTGGACTGCATGTTTCCAAAAGAAGTCTAACTTCCCTGAGACGCTGTGCTGCAAGGAAGCCCAGGTCAGCCACATGGAGAGGCCATGTGCGAGGGAGATGCCCAGCCATCCTCCATTGCTCCTGCTGAGGCAGCTGATGCACCAGACATGAAGTGAAGACCTCATCCTGGAGTCTTCAGACAACAAGTTTGCATGAGTCCCTAATTGAGGGCTTCCCAATGGATCCTTATAAACTCACAAAATATTAAGAAATCATAAATTTTGCTTTATGCTACCAATTTTGGGGGTGGTTTGATAAACAGATAATGAAAATATTTCTTATCAAGGAATTGTTTTGTGCCTGGAGCCAAGCCTTCTCTCCCCGCATCTGACACTTCTTTCTACCTGTGCATTCTACCTCTGTTGTGTGTTACCCATAAGGAATTTCCAAAATGTCTCAATTGAACCCTCTGTTTCACTGTTGCCTTTCATACCAGTGGAAGGCAGGGTAGAGGTGAATGGTACTTATATTCTCTCTGAAAGAAGTCCATTCAAGGCATTTCCCAGATAAAAAGATACTTATCTAAAGATAAATGTTTCCATTCTCTTAAAAGGTTGCAGAAGCTGCTGGGACATTTTAAATGTCACTTGTCTTGCTACATATGCAGAACCTGTACAGAAACAGGCAAGATAAAAACATACCAAAATGTTAACAGGAATTGCCTTTTGAAGCCTTTTTCTATTTTTAAAAAAATATTTTATTGCTTCATTCTCAATAATGAAGATAATTTTTTTAACAACATAAATGTTTGGGCATATTTAGGTAAAGGTAAAAAGAGGGATCAGAGACTGCCGTGGAGAGTTTGAGGCTGTAGTGGGTCAGAGGCTGGGCTTGCCACTGAGCCCCAACCCAGCATGCTGTGTTGTCAGTGGGCTGCCTCCCACAGCAATTAAGCATGTGAACAGTGATCAGCTAGGTAAGACCCCAGGGATGTCTGCTGGTGAGCTTCTGGGGTGCTCCTTCCTAATAAAAAAGACAAAAGAGAAAGATTTCCTTTGGTCAGATGTGATGTCTGTATTCCAACATTTGCAGCAACCTTTTGGATCCTATAGGAGAGCTAAGGTGATGAGTCTAGTCCTTTTTGACAGTGTTAAGCCACCAAAACAAACTTGAGCCCACATACTTCTGGACCCTGAGTATGAAAAGTAATCAATCTGGTAAGCCCAGTGATCTGGGGTTTTTTGTTTGTGTTTTGTTTGTTTCAGTACTTTGATACTGAGAATTAAACCTACAAAGAGTCTACCTCTGAGTCACAGCCTCAGCCATTTTTAAATTTTTAATCTTGACACAAAACTGTAAATTGTGGAGGCTTTGAGTTTGTGATCGTCCTGCCTCAGCTTCCTCCTGAGTCCCTGGGATTACTGGTGTGCACCACCTGGATGAGCCAGCGGTCTGTTACAGTGGAGAGCATCCTTATGATAGGAACATAAGGAATAGTT